ATCCTCAATTGTACAGTAGCCATAATGCGCCTTGAACTGACGTACCTCATGCCAGATTCAAGCCAGTGAATGCCCTGGAAAATCCACGGGCGTGGACGGGCTGCATCCTGTGTTTTCTGACTTATCCAATTGGCCCGGCTCCCCGTCAATTGGGTTTTGGACAACCTGCGTGCTGACCTCGAGGAATGTGAGAACTAGTGCCACCCTCTTCAGGAATTCATTGATTGACGGTGGTGGGATGACAATTCACAGCTACTCTAGCCCTTCTCATCTACGGCTTGCTCGTTCATGGAGCCCACCAAATTTGTGTTCACAGAATGAATGCCCAACAACATAAGTGTGCAAAGACCAGGGTCGAGCTCACCACACGGGACCCGACATACATCTTCTAGTACCATTACGCGAAAAGGACATCCTATTCAAGCAGGCGAAGCCGTGTCGAACACTGCTTTAATCTAAAATTAGGGTTCTTGTAGCTCCTGCCGCCTGAAGCCCTCTGACCTGCTGCTACCCTGCGGCCATGGTGCCGAAGCTTCTGGTTGCGTTCAACAGCGCAGTGCCACGCATTGCCAGGGCGGCACAGGACCACAAAGCACTCGAAGTGTCTTGCCTTTCATGTTTATGGCTCTCGAGTCCGCAGCCTGGGACGACACCTCGGCCTAGGCCCATCCGAAGGCATACCCTGATCCCCGAATCTGACCTGCTGTGCCCGGACAGACCCGTGGACACGGCTGCGGCCGCCGCTGTGGTTAGCGGCGGCTCAGTGGAGACCTCAATGCAGTAGCATAGATCCCCTTCTTGATACTTTTGGTCATGTGGGAATGATGGGGGTGGGATTTATGGGGGCTTCGAAAGAGGGTGTAGAACTCAAGTTTCTAGCAGAACATTGGAAAGTGGACTGTGGCCTGCGAATATAGGGCTAAAACATCGGACGTGTCAGAAATTACGCATTGATTTGGCAAAGGATCCCTGTCCCAATAGCTTATTCGGATGGCTCGCTGATGGATTCAGGGCAGAGCGTGAGCAAAATCAAAAACACCTCTACCGACCCTAACCTTTGCCCGAACCACCAATCCGCGCAGCACTCTCTTGTGAGGGCCCAACATCCTTTGCAGCATGTAACTTCGTGCGGAAAAAGTTCCTAACCCCACAACGAGTCTTCGGCTGGATTTCGGAGCAAGGATTATCTCTTTCATGCGGGAGCAGATTGTAAATTTCGAGTAAGGTAGTATGATCGTCCCATCCTTCCTTTCGAGAGTCTCGAGGTTGTAGGCCGAGAACAACCATGCGACATCCGAAACCTCGTACATGTTGTGTCGAGGCCCGCTGGAAAGAGTCGTTGCTTGATCACTAGTGACATAATTACAGTGGAACCGAGGGTCGAAACCCCAGCGTCTACATCACAGTTTTCGCGCTGCATGTGCCAAATATTTTTCCCGGAACGGCACAAAGAAAACGTGTTGGGGCAGATAGGTGTGCCAACGCAATGCGCAAGAGCTACAAGCCGGGAAATCTTCCCGTTTGATCCACTGGCCCTATCCTCATCATACTAGCCGAAACCCGGCAGCCCCAAGTATGAAACCTCCGACAACTTCCGAACCCTGTAGGGAGCAAACCACGTAAGGCGTGCTGTGTGGTATTCGGTTGAATTGTGTGGAAGTAGGTCCTGAACGCATAATAGTGTTGAGCTAAGGCAGGGCACTTGGCGATTCGGGCTTGGTGTCTCTGAGGTTTCGGGTTTCGGCGGTGGTAGATGGAGTTGGACTACGCTCAGAACAGTCTGCAACCCGATCTGCTCGCTTAGTTGATAGGCAAGTGCGCCGCCCCGTAAACCTTTCACGGGAAGCCACGAACAACATGTCTGGACGGCAGCAAGTAAGGTTTGTTGAATTGTCGGCAGGAAAAATATGCTGCTGTGATGTTTGGCCACTTGGCTCGCGGCTGAAGTCTTCGTGAGAGCCCAGATTGTGTTGGACCGGGACTGCGGGCTGAGCTCTGCGACCTGCTGCACGAATTCAGGTTTGCATGTCTGTGAGTGTCTGTCTATTCCGAGGCAAGAAGGCAAGATGGACCCCCAGTTTTCCTACATGCTCAATGCTTGTTGACCTTGTTTTGTCAAGTTTCGAGTTTCGAGCTGGCGACAACATCACAAATAATGCGTGTAGGCGCAGCAAGAGCAAGGAGCGGTTCCTGCGGTTTTTGGCACTGGTTTTTGGAGTGGTGAATAACTCTCCAGGTGACTTGAAGGCTTCAGCCCTGCTCTGTACCCGAAGACAATTCGTTTGGTTGTTGCGATTTGAGCAAGTCGTGGTTTGCAGATAACAGCGATGAGAATCCCAGGCTGGGCTTTCCCTGCAAAGCTAGAGGCAGGCCCTGCTGTAGCGGATGCAAACCTCACTAAACTTGTCTTAGCCTCAAACCATGCCCTGAGCGCAATTACCGCTGGGCCCTGGCGTGCACTGAAGCTTGGAACCATTGATTGCAAGTTCGAGGGCCTTGGCAATAGCTTCCGCAGCAAGGGCTTCGGAAAGCGGCCTGGGCGATTCAGAAGATGCTTCGTGCACCTCGCAGTGCAATTTTGACCCGTAAGCATCCGGAAGCACCGCCCTGGCCACGTGCCCGCAGAGCTGCCCATGCCACGCCAGCGCTTGGGCCATCCTTCGTAAGCAGCTTCTCTTCAACTTGGGGTTGGCGCTTGAGGATGTTGCCTTCTTGAGACCTCCAACACAATAACCACCTTCGCCTGAAGATTCATTGCAACGTAACACCGCCCGAAACAAAGAAAGAGCGCCGGCCTATTCCGAAAGCCGAAAGCACCGGTCCCAACTAACCGAACAAACCAAAGGAATCCCAGTCCTCCAGACTGTGTTTGCGATCTCTTGTCCATCGAGCTCCTGGCACTGACTTCTTTGTCTGGGCTTATGAGCGTACAATGTGATCCATCCTCAGACTCGGATTTGGGCGAAAAGACGCTAAAAGCCTTTCCAGCGGGGAGGGTTAGGGCTTCTGAGGACTTCATCTTTTCACACAACATCGCGAGTTGGATGAAGATAAACCTGAAAAATCAAACCTTCGGTTGAGGCTTATATCCGGATGTTTTGCTTTCGGCGCTGGGGGGTGCATTTGGGTACATGCCTCTAGGATCACTCTAGGAGATTTCAGCCAGGGTCTCTTCGGAAACATGTCAATATCCGTCGCAGAGCGAGCGCGGATCGCTGCACCCCCTATCGCGAGAGAAAGGATCTTACAACCTCCAACCCCCGCCCCCCCAAACCCCTCTCAACCTCCAAGCCCCAAAAAAGCAATGGACACCAGTGCCAGTGAGTGCTCCTTACATTGGTCATGTCGACACCTGCAATACATCATGTTGGTAATACTTGCCTGCACCATGCGCTGCACATCCGCGACTGAAACCTGATGCGAATGCGAACTGCCGTATCACTAATCATGATGATGATGATGACGTGGTGGTGAGGATGATGAGGAGGATGTTGATGATGCTGATGATGCTGGTAGAAAGGTGACAACCACGATCATGGTGGTAAGTGACAGTGATAATTAAGTGATAATGACGAAAAAGGAGTACGAAGGAGAAACATCACCACGATTTTTCTGCAGCAGGCCTGGCACACGAATGTTGAAATGCATCCAGAAAGGCAAACAGCACAGGCAAAACTCACCTCCACATTGCAAGCGTGAGCTAATATTCGTGAAGCCTGTTGACACGATCTGTTGAAGCTATCTTTCCAACTTTAGGTCGGGGTGATCAGTTTCGATTAGTCAAAGTGCAGGCTTTACGACTGAGTCTACGGTTCTTGGGGTCCCGCTGTCTTACCCCGAACCTCCACTGTGTATGACCCTGTTCGTTCGGGATCTTGCAGGCTAGACTCTCCGGGATTACATCCCAGCTTGTAGTTGCAATCGTACTAAGATTGGACAGACGCCTTGGAAACACGACAGTATGAACGTTCCTTCGTTGATTTCTGAAACCGGCAAGCGAAATCAACTGCAGCAACAGGAGCCGACGCAGGTGGCTCACTGAACATTGCAGCAGCAGTAGAGCCCCATGCCGTGTTCGCCACGTTCCTGATGCAGCTCCAAGCGTGAATCTCTCCAACGCATGCAAAACCCTCACGAGCAATCGGCAGGAAGCTCTCCAACTAGAAGTACACTTGACGGCGAAACATCCAACCCACCAAAGATGAATATCGGGCTAACAGTACGGGCGAGCTTTTAGCTCTACTATTTAGTTATTAGTGAATCAATTGCAGGGCTCTGCGGACTGACGGAGACGAGCTGCTGTGGTGTGAACTCACGGTGCAGTTTGATGGCTGCCTAGGCCAACGCGTCCATCAGACGCCTGCGTACGGGTGTTTTGCCTTCGGGAAATGCAGTACAATGAATACAAGGGTTCGGAGTCTGGTGCTTCAGAGCTTGGGGAGCCGACGAATCTCTTGTGCATATGTAGGAATTCAAGATGGGTTCTTTTGGGCATGACATCCCTGGGCGACTTCAAGGTTGCTACTTAGATAGACTTTTGCAAAACGGCGCAAGGGTTGATGTCACATGCGGCCTGTGGCTCTGCGGTCGAGATTAAGAGTTTGTCGGTGACCGGCTGAACAAACACCAAAACAGCTCGCGCGCATCAACATCTGAAAGCCTAATCTCCTCCAAAAGCACCACATCATACACTGCCTGGCACGCTTTGCCTTAAACCGGACAACTCAATACCGTCCACAGTGCTCACGGGGCCCAGGCTCTCAGCGGACTCCAGGGGATGTAAATGCCCGAGCTGCGATCGACACACCTGGTCAGACCAATCCCGCGTCATTCGATTACTCGATGGCAGCCACCTCACACCTGTTGCAAAGTCAACTCCCGGACTCGTCCCTCGTCTGTCCTCATGCAAACCCACGACCTCCACTCTCAGGCGGCCGAGCCAGCGACCAGTGAATGGATTTTGGGTGCGTGCACCCAAATAGGCGAAGACCCTGACCTGCCTTGCGACTCCAGCTCGTTCACAAGCATTAGGGCGACCTAACAAAAGCTCGAGCTCTTTCAGGGACTGATGATGGACTTCGGAGTTGGAGGGTATTCTGGCCAAGTTAAGGGTGTTCGAGCACCTGGGCAGAGGGCCTGCTGCCAGAGTCTCGATGGATGAAATTACTTGCATGAACACTTTCCAGTTGAGTGCTTGGCAGGGTTTGTGGTCAGAGCTAAGCAGTTCTATGCTTCACATGCTCGTGCTTTCAGCCTGACCATTTAGGCCGCAAAAGGCTCGGCTAAACCGCGAAAGCAAACAACATCATGACAGGACTTCGGCTTTTTTTCAAACCAGTTCCTGGACTTCCAACATGAGAATCTCTGCTGAAGTTGCGGAAATCCTTCGTTCAGCTTGGTTGAAGAAGTGCCTCGCAGGCCACTGTCGAGGCCACGGTGCCATGCACAAGCAGGACACCTGCTGTTTAGGATTTAGGGTGAGGGGCTCAGGGCTCCCGGCTGAAAGGCTTGAGCTGTAGAGGTTGCTAGAGATTCAGGCGGCTCTGTGAGGTTTCAACGCACCCGCCTTTCCATGCTAGCCGGCCCAAAGATACTTACATTATGGACACTCTTAAAGGTGTGCCGGAATTCCATATCGTTCCGTCTTGAACAGCAAGAGAGTAAGAGTTTCGAACTTTTAATCTTCATCTGTGCAGCACTATCCCAGCTTTGGAGGTCGAGGACCTTGGTTGCGGACTGTCATTCGAGTTCACAGGCCTAAAGATTGTCAAGTGGAATCAGTCATGACGGTTCAGTGCCTCATCGTTTCAGCTTTAGGGAGGCAAGCTTCTGCACTTGGACCCTGCCTGGCGTCCAGGCTGCATTGGACAGAGACGGTGGGCTAGACTCCCATCCCTGCGAGCAGGTGAAAGGCAAATGGCATAGAAGCAGCTGAGCTTACGAGATATAAATTATGACACAGCAGGCAGAGGTGGACTACATGGACAACGGAAACTTCTGCTCTACGTAAAGAACAGTGAGTACGCAACGCTCATGACGAAACGTAAACAATTTCGATGCATCCATTCACCCAGTCAATACGATCATAGTAAGCCCGACCTGCTGAACTGCTGCACCACTGAGCGTCGTCAATAGCGGCAGGCCAACGAATGCCAAGCTGGCCTGGGGCAGGTGGAGCCCTTCACGGAAGTCTTATTCCGGGAGTGTTGTCAATGCGGAGTTCTCGGGATTTCTCGGGCTTCATTTCGGGGGCTTGAAACGCAATTGAATGATTTTCAAGCGGTCAACACTACAATCCAGAGATTAACACACGCATCCGAGACATTTTCCAACGCCGATTCTGACCGCTTCCGGCACTTCAGGCTCAGGCCCACAACCCTGGATCGTCTGGCTTGAAAACCTTCCCTTGCACGAGGTCAGAGCCTGTTGTCCGTTTTGGAGTAATGGAGTTTTCGTGCGATCCCTTAGCGGGACCTCACAGCTCAGCTCGAGTCTTTAGTTGCGAAACCAAGCGCAAATTTGAGAATCCCGGTTCCAGGATGTGGTGCTTTGGGTTCAAGGCATGCGGTCTGCCGGCTTGATGGCCTTTTCGGCTACCACCTAAATAGACATCAAGAACGCTCTGGCAAGCATCGTGACAGCATCGTTAAACGCACCAACATCGAGCGAGCCCTCCGATTAAGCGCGGAGCACGAGAAATCCACACAAATGGGTAGTTCACCGGCATGCAACGACTTGTAAACAAGGTAAACTCAACTGCCCCCTCCCAGCACCATTCAAAACCGCGATGCTGAGAAGCAAGCAACCGACCTTCGCCAGACCCAGTTGAACTTGTCTTTTCAACTAACGTAGCCGCTCACGTTTCCTGCCAGGCATGCTTCTGAGCCGCAGGCATGTGCCCAGAGCAAGTTGGCGATGCTGAGCGCTTCACAGGCCCCTGATGGCACTAGGAACATTGCTCCATGTTCAGTACCAGCAAGTTACATTAACCACCAAATTCAGACCAGAATTTCGATTTCGAGACCGAGAGCTTCACATCGTATCTTTGGGCCTGGTCACTTATGACTGAGGAGGCATTGATCTGGAATTGTAGGGCCTAGGCCCAGGCGGTCGATGAATGTCTTGATCAAACTGCAGGCGCTTGCACAAATGCTGTATGAGAGGTCCACGTCCACAGCCCTGGTAAGCCCGTTTTGCTGCTCTCCTGGGCTTGCGGCTCCAAATCATATTCTCCCATTCCCAATCCCCTGAACTCCGACTCCTGAAGCGCTAAAGCCAAGCCGTTGTCTCATTTCAATCCCGAACTGCGTATCTTGTGATGCACATCCTGAAGCCCGAAGAACACGGAGCCTTCAGCAGGTTGACCGAGCTCCCTCCAAACTTCTATCGAAAGTCTCGGTCTCCGAACTTTTCACCCAAAAGTTGAACAGAAAGAAAAGCCTTCAGCGACGAGCTGGCGGGCGTGGGTGGCCGGGGCCTGCCGAAGTTGTGTGAGTCATACGAGGCTGTGAAATGACGAAATGCATGCGATGCGCCCTTCCCGGCCTCTAGCAATTTCTCTCTCCTGAGCGCTGTGGCACCGCAGCCCCACGCCTGCACCGATGGCGTCTTATGTGCTTCTGCTTTCCTTCGCAGGGAGGCAGGGATCAGGCAGTGAAGTCACTAGGCGAAGAATGCCATTAGGCGTCCCTGTTTGTGCCGTCGGAGCCAAGTTTGTTTGGGATGTGTTCCAACTTTTACAATTGAGGCTAATTTAAGCTCGCGGACTTCAAGCTTTCAAGCAAAACTGGTCGAATCGTGCAGCAAATCCTCTGGTCTAGAAAAGCAAGGCCTCAGTCCAGTCAGATTCTTTGCGTCCAAGATGCCAAGTTTGCCGCATTCTGCGAATCGGGCTGCTGGAGCCGGCCGTGTGTGGCTTCTGCAGGCCCAGTGTTCAAGGGTCCAGAGTTTGTATGCTTCAAGATTGTCACTTGTAGCTCCATGGCATGAGATATAGTTGATGTCAAGAAAGCTGTCTGAGACCAAGAGTGACAGCTTCCGACCTGATAGATCAGGACTAGGGTTCATCATAGCCATCAAGCTCGTCAGGTGTCCTTTCCCAAATCCTGATGCCGAGCCTTTCGCTTTTTGAATCCTGTACCTTGAAAATGCGAAGGCGCTAAGCCTTAAGCTCTTCAAGTGCTGAGACACAGACCCGCAATGCTAGCCCTCTCCTGGCCTCCTGTGGCCTCGACCATGCTCCCCTCCACAGAAGCCGGCTTCGTGAAGCTCCGCGCCCTCTAGCATAGCACAAGTCAGATTTTGACGCGGGGTCTGATGGGTTCAGAGAACTTAAGCTTTAGAAGGTGACGCTGTGGGGCTTGGGAGGAGGGGTCCCGGTCCCGGTCGCTTTTTCCAGGAAGTGAGGGGCGCTTCTCTGCTCTCGGCTCAAGTTTTGCCCTCCTGCATGTCTCTGATCAACCCTGAAGCCAGAGGCCATTCAACAAGGTGTCGTACGCTTACAGGATACTGCATCTCGGCTGAAGAGTCTGGGAATAGATGAGCGACGATGATCTACGAGTCCGCGACCGTCGAATGCGCAGCGGCTAAAGGAGCGCCAAGCCTCATGTGTTGCCTCTTCTGTCCAGAGTGTGCGCTCTACCCCCCGCCCTGGAGCATCGGTGCCTGTTCGCGAGATTTTGTGGCGAAGAGTGCTAGAGTCTGGACGAGCCTGAGCTGTCAATGTGCTCTCGAGAAGCCCTGGGCTCCCAAGCTTGCAATAAGAAGACTAATCTATCCCCAAACTCAGAATTTACAAAGTCTTCATAATGACGACACTTGAAGAGTAACTAGTTGTTGCAGGGCCATCAACGTTTGAGCAGGATTTGTGTTACTGGTCGCGGCAGATGTTCTGGATCTCGTCGCTTGCAATGTGTATCACTTGACGAAGTGTTGCTCGCGAAATCTGCTACCGCAAGACTCGCCAACAAGAACACTTACAGCTGCGCAGGATGTACCCGCTGCATGGTCTGGATGTTTCAATGCCGTAAAAGCACTCGTGCCCCAACTATTACCACTGTCTTTGATTATCTGTCACTGCGCTGGTAAGTTGCGAAAAGAGCTGTTCAACAGTGCTGTCTCTCAAGTCAACACACCAGTTACACGATGATTACAAGATTACCAGGCAGCCCTCTGCCGCAGTTGCTCCCAGCAGCGCTGTGCCACGGGGTGCCAGGGTTCCAGGCGACCGTGCCTTGGCTTCATGGTGCAGCATCGTTGTAGTGTCGCCTAGAGTGTGTGTGTGTGTGGTGGTTGTAGAATCCCTTTCGGCTTTGTTGCCTTCTGCGAGGCGTTGCCTGTTTCTGGTAGGTGTGTCAGCGACCCGTGTTTCACGAAATCACGCATTCTATTCCAGGTCAATGCTCACAACACTGTCACGGTCTTTCTGTCAGGAAGAGCGCAGCCTTGACGGTTGGACGAAGCGGCGGTGATTGACAGAGCCCGTGGCGGAGGTTCCAAAAGATGCCTGACAAACTAGCACTTCAGTGTTCTTTGCTTAAACAACGAGACCTTAGACTTTTTGTGAAAAGTTGAAGTGCGTAAGCACTGAGAGTCAAGGGTGATGTTGATATCATAGGCCGACTGCACCCGAGACTGTTCGCGCCTCTGGCAGCTCTGTGCAGTGCCGTGCGTTGGGGCTGTGCCGCTGGCCACTGCTTTGGCCAATGCCCATGCGAGGCTGGAAAGTTCCTTTCGAAAGTAAAAAGGACGAGAACATGCAGTCGCTTGATGCTCTGCCCTTGTCCCTTGACAAGCATCAGACGGTTACTGCTCTCGTACTTCACTACGGAAGGTTTTGAATCGTCAACAGGGATGAATGTGCAGAAGCGTGCTGTGGAAGTAGTGGTTGCAGCAGTTGCGGCACTGGACTTGCTGCCAACACCAGCTTTTCTCAATCTCGCTCCCCCTCTTCTGCTCCTCATCCTGCAATCATCGTTGTCTCCACTTCCCGTGCTCGCCTGCTCGTCATCCTCTGTCTTCCATCGTCATCATCCTCGTCGCCATTTTCCTGTATCCTCGTCGTTGTCACCATGATCCTGCGCACGAGGTTCTCCATCATCCATGCAAGCCCATGGTGTTCGACACTTGCAGCTTCAGGCATTCGCTCGTGAAGGATTCGCGCCACCTCCAGAATCGAAAGAACTGAAAAAATATAACACACAGTCAGCCTGTCAAAAGCCCGGACAGTGTGAACACAGTCGCTTCCCCAGAATTTTGGGAATTCACAGAACCTCTAACCCTAAAACGTTTATGCCTTGCCGAAGTTGGAAACAACACATATTCCCCATCATCACCGGGAGACTTCCCAATTATGTGCACGCTCTCGCCTCTGACCGCTGATAGACCACCAGGCATTCGCAGCGAAAAACCCTAAACTGGCCCTAAACAGTCCTGCGCTGACAGCACATCGGCTCTAGCTGCCAGCTATGCGCAGGCTTCGGTAGCAAGTCGGCCTTGGCTTTGCCGGATCTATCCCTCGCAGGTTGCAGGGGGGGTTTGGGAGTTGGGGGAGTTTGGATGGCCTTTTCGGGGTGTCAGACTTGGGGCAGCCAAATGCTTATGGTGAACCAGTTGTTTCCCGTTCGGTACTTTGAGCTGAAGCACGCCTTCCAGTGTTGGCGTGAGGGTTTACAGACCCGCTGGTGGACTTGGTAACAGAATATAGATTTGGCTAGAAGATCGTTACTTTGCAAGTCCCATTCGTTCGGCTTGGCCACGTGGACCTCTGACAAGTTTGGAAATGCAGGCTTCAAAAGCTAGACTCTGGACCAATACATGGGGGTTTCAGGCGGAGGTTTGGAATTCGAGGACAACTGGAAAGAGAAAGCTCGAGAAATACCTGGTCCTTTCGTATTGCGCCAGCACTTCTATCTAATCTGGCAAGCGATGTGTCTTCATCAAGAGCCATCTGGGTTCCTGACGCAATGTCTTTGCCTCTTCGTCGGCCTACGCCCTCTCTTTTTGTCTGGCGCGATGATGCGTAGATGCTTCAACTTTCTTTTGCGCAGATTTGACGTCTAAGCTAGTTCTTGGTAACATCATGACGTCTTCTGCAGAATCAACCCCGAATCATGTAAGCTCAGGTCTGGGTGCAGTACAGGAAATAATTGCGGGTTGCTGCGGAACTTTTCGGCAAAGCTAACTGTTGCCATCAGACATACACATGTATATATATATACACACATGTGTACATATATATATATATGTATGTATGTATGTACGTATGTATGCACGTACGTACGTAGGTAAGTAAGCAAGTATGTATGTATGTATGTATGTATGTATGTATGTATGAGCGCGATACCTTTAGGGTCTATTTAGCTGGTCTGTTATATATGCAATATAACTTCCCTAGCTAAATATTACACATATAAGTCATACATTGCACAAACATAAATCCGAAAACTTTGAAAAATGCCATGAGATATAGTTTAATATTGAATTCCCATACATTTCGGATGATGGGCTTGCCAACCGGCATCCGCAATTAATGCATCTAACATCTTACATGACAATCGGATAACTGCCATCATGTTATACATCGAATTTCCATACAGTTCGG